AGCAACTAGGAGTATATCTACTCCCCCCTGGATGGGATGCTAGTCCATTGCAGAGTTACCCCCAGCATTAAATTTGCCAGTTCCCATTTATACACCTGGGTGGAGAGAGACACTGTGAGAGTAAAGGGTCATGCCCAAGAACACAACACAATGACCCCGGCCAGGACTTCTTGATCCAGAATTGAATGCACTAACCTTGAGGCCACTGTCCCTCCCATCAACAATCTCATACTGGTTCTTAAATAGAATTTCAATCCTCCATAGTCCTCCCACTCAGCACGTGAGATGTCAGTTTTGAATAACAACAGGCTCTACAGTTATCAAAACATGTCAGGGTAAACCAGACATGAATAACGTATGGTATGAGTAAATGTCCACATAAAGAGCAGTATTATACATTGATATAATGACATGTTTGGTAAGTGAGAAATAATTTTGGATAAGAGTATCGGTAAAAATTAAAGAAATAAAGTTATGTTGATATGAGTGAAGAATATACAGCATATCTTTACAGGGAAAAGCAAAGCATTGTTTTTATGACTGGCTATTTCTTTACTTTTTGTTGTTGTTTTATCTTTTATCTTGTTAGCAATTTCTTAATTATTTGTACCGGTATGTAAAAATCAGTATGTGCCCTCCTTTGGTTTTGACCTCAGTATGCATTAATTTTTGTCTACAATATGAACAATTTTATTCTCAGTCTGCAGTCTACATTTTGTACTGATCAATAGTGGCTACATGTGTGCACACATGTCCAGTATTTAAAAGTAGGAAGGTTAAGATGCAACATCGACATAATCAATAGGGTTCTTCAATCTGATTGATAATTTACAACATTGTGTGTATGGACAAGAATTTTGACTGGAGATGATCACAGCTTCTTATAGTTCTCATTCCAAGCCTGCTCATCCCCTTGTGGGCCTTTGTCAGGCATTTTGACAACTTTTGCAGCCAAGCTTTCAATTGCTATTTTGTTTCTCTCTTCAAAAGTAAGCCTCAGAGGAGCATTTTTGTGCAAGCATGAGAAATTTGAATGAAAGTGTGAATTTATTTATTACCAAGTGTGTTACTTTTATTAGCAATTTTTATGTTCAAGTTAGTATTATACTTACTTGAGAAGTACAATCATGTATATATCTTTGTTTCATTTGTCAGAAATTATTCAGACAATCATTCTAGTGCAGCATGAAGTTATTATTAATTAAGTTTTTTTGGGTAGCCAGTGATCTACACTTATACTTTGAAACAAAAGGATTTAGATGAAAGTAAATGACTTGGATTAAGTTTTATACATTTACTGGTCAAAAACTGCCACTGAATGAAGTCCTGAATCAAACAAAAACAAGACATTGTAGCAGAAATTAAATGTTTTTCTGGCGCTCGTTTTATGAAGCTCAATTTGGTGTAGAAATTTTCGTAGAGTTCTACGACTCTACGCTTTTGTCACCAGTCTCCTCCTATGTGTTGGAAAGACACGTTACCTCCTACTTCAGAGCTTTTGCCAAACTTGTGTATTGTTACTATGGTTACCTGCCTATTTTGTAACATTTGATTTCAATTTGTAGCATATTCCTCGCATATATCGCATATATATTAAAGTGTTATTGAAAGTGTTAATTTGGTTTACAGTGTTTTAATCGTTTTCAATTTAAAATTCTGTATTGAGTTTACCCTCTACCATCTATGCTCTACACTCTACGGTTCTATGTACGGGCGTAGAGGCTTACAGTTATTGTAGCAAATATTAAAGGGCATGGGAAATGTTTAGTGTTATTACAGTTTACAGTATTTTAATAATCTTTTTAATGTACAATTCTGTATTAGTTTACCCTCTATGCTCTACGCTACATGTATATGTTCTACCATCTACATTCCACTCTCTACGTTCTACTGGCTACTCTCTTCAATCTACGCTCTACACTCTACCCTCTACCCTCTAAGTCCATCTACACACTACATTCTACCAGCTACTCTCTTTGATCTACGCTCTCGCTCTGCGATCTACCATCTACCCTCTAAGCCCATCTATGCTCTACTCTCTACATCCTACCAGCTGTACTCTCTTCGATCTACGCTCTACGCTCTACGATCTACGATCTACCCTCTAAGCCCATCTACGCTCTACTCTCTACGTCCTACCAGCTACTCTCTTCAATCTACGCTCTACTCTCTACGATCTACCCTCTAAGCCCATCTGCTTGGAAGGTTATTGGAATATTTTAATTATTTTTTAATTTTTTAACAAAGACTAGTGAGCAGCAGAAACGAAGACTTCTTGTAGTTGTAAGCTTTTTTCGTTTATTTCCAATGCGCTTAGTCTCTAACTGAGACTTCTTGATGGAATGGTTTAAGCGTACCTAAGTTTAACTTCCCATGGAAGTGAATAACTGCTGAAACATGCTGTAAATGGATGTTGCAAAAAGACTCCTTAATGCACATGTTATTGCATGTTGTTCTATTTTGGGAGCCATACGATTAGTGCTAATCGTATGGCCCCCAATATATATAAAAAAGGTTAAAAAAAAAAACATTAAAACATTAAAAAAAGACATATTTTTTGTTTGGAATGGTCCCAAAGAAATCCTATTAGAGTTTCTTAGTTGTCTCTATAGCAAGAATGATCGTGTCAAACTTATGTACTATGTTATTGACGAAAGTAGTATTTCATTTCTCGATTTATTTCTTTACAACGATGCTAATTTTAGCTCTCTGCAGTTTTCTATTTATCAAAAGCCACTAAAATAAGTATCTGTACATTCCCTTTGAGTCGTTTTATCCCGTGAGCAACAAGAAGGCCTTTATTAGAGGCAAGCTTATGTGCCATACCAGAAATAGCTCCACATTTAAAGCCTTTAGTGAAACGTGAGAAATTCTGGAAGCACCTTGGGCTTCACGGTTACCCAGTTGGGTTTTTACTTCCTTTATTCGGGGAGGTTAAATACAGTAACTAAATGGCTTTCGCTGAAATGTAAATTGTGCAGTGGTAGAATGGTAGGTAGTCTTTAAGTCTACATTTAACTGTAGTCATGCTAACTGATGTTAAGGACATTTTGTTACAGTGTACTTGAAGTGTGAAAACTTAGGTCATGTGACTTTGAACGCCTAGTGGATGTTTTGCAACCAAGGGGAGATGTTGTTTACTAGTTTTTAGGGTCGTAATTCGTCATAGAGATTGCTGTTCATTTCAAGTTTGAATTAATGGTTTAACTGAGAACCACTAACATCAAGCTGGTTATCCACAGACTTTAACCAGATTTAGATTGTATTGTCAGTTGTAAATCTACTACTACTTTAGCACATCTGTGTAAATAGTATGTTTTTGGGGGGCCATACAATTAGCGCTAATCGTAGGCCCCCAAAATAGGACAACATGCAATAACATAGGCATTTCTTGTAACGTCCATTTACAGCATGTTTCAGCAGTTATTCACTTCCATGGGAAGTAAACTTAGGTACGCTTATGTGCTATATATGCTGTTCAATGTTAGTTGTAATCATTCCCTGAAGAAGTCTCAGACAGAGATGAAATGCATCGGAAATGAACGAAAAGGCTTACAACTACAAGAAGTCTTCCTTTCTGCTGCTCACTAGTCTTCGTTAAAAAATTAAAAAATTAAAAAAAATTAAAATATTCCAATAACCTTCCAAGCAGATGGGCTTAGAGGGTAGATTGTAGAACGTAGAGCGTAGATCGAAGAGAGTAGCTGGTAGGATGTAGAGAGTAGAGCGTAGATGGGCTTAGAGGGTAGATGGTAGATGGTAGATGGTAGAGCATAGAGTGTAGATCGAAGAGAGTAGCTGGTAGAACGTAGTGCATAGATGGACTTAGAGGGTAGATGGTAGAGCATAGAGCGTAGAGCGTAGATTGAAGAGAGTAGCTGGTAGAATGTAGAGAGGGGAATGTAGATGGTAGAACATACAGCGTAAAGCATAGAGCGTAGAGGGAAAACTCAATACAGAATTGTACATTAAAAAGACTATTAAAATACTGTAAACTGTAATAACACTTTAATAACACTCTAATATACATTGTATAATTATGAGATAATAAAGAAAGCCACTGAATAAATTACAATTACAAAAATTACAGCATCGCAGATGATCGAGAAACTCGCACTCGCAACCCAATAATATCACTCTACTGGTTGTTTAAGCCTCTAGGCTAGTGTAGAGAGTAGTAAAAAATTCTTGAACTGATAAACTCGTAAATACGTAGAGCGTAGATTGTGGAACATGGAGTGTAAGAGCTTTAAGAGCATGGTGCGTTGACCGTAGATGGAAGAACATATAGCGTAGAGCATAGTCAGGGTAAACTCAATACAGAATTGTAAATTGAAAACAATTATTAAAACATTGCAATCCGTAATAACACTCAACATTCCCTAAGTGATATAATATTTGCTACAATAACTATACGCCACTACACCTCTATGGTGCACGCATATCTAAGACAAATGGAGCTTAAACATTCAAAATACTACTGTAGAGTTGAAGAGCTCTACGAAAATTTCTACGCCTAATCGAACTTCATGAAATGGGCTGGGTGTAATTGATTCACATCAGTTTGGATGATAGCAGCAGCAGTTGAACAGTGGTTGAATAGTATTGTTTTTCAGAGCACTTTTCTTGAAAATGTGTCGTATCTCTATCAATACATTATTGCTTCTGTTAGGGTAGGATACTGGTATCTGTAAGTACTATGATATGCCTCTAATAAGCCATGATCTATACACCCATCCACTTTGTGATCTAATGTGTGGTGATGACCAACAAATGATGCAAACAATCCTTTAAAGTCAACGTGATGTGAAGTTTGCTGAACAAGTAGAAAATAACCTAACATATGGTCTAGCAGAAATGTAAAGAAATGAACTTAAAGAATACTGGTAGTTAGCCATTGGTATGTAACTCTTGTGACAGAAAAAGGGCAAGGAGATGAGAAGATCAAAAAGTAATCAATCTGTCCCTTAGTTTCAGTTGAAAGGGCAGNCTGGTAACTTTTATCTTGTAGCCAGATGAAGGTGCTGGACTATGGTTTAATTGCTGTTGCAGAGGAACTTCAACAGATTGTCTTTACTGCTTTGAATGGTGCTGAGTCTAATAGTAATTCCCTTCAACTTGAAGATACATGCATTGCAACTCTAGACAAACATGTCAAAAAAGTCTTAAATGGCATAGACCAAAAAGAGGCATTGCAAAAATCAGTGGCTAAAAATGTCACAAACTGTAGGCACCGGATAATCAAAGAATTCATGCGGAGCCACATGGTTAACAAGAGACGGTATTGTCCTGGCTGTAAAGCACCATCTCGAGATGTTAGGAGTGAATATAACAGCCGTGTGTTTTTGAAGGCATTGTCAGCTCGTGAGGCTAATAAATGGGTGAAGACACAGGCAATCAATGAACATTTAAAAAAACATTCAGCTCCTGCAGCAAATGGCACAGAGGATAGTGTTGGTGCTGATGATAGACTTCAGAGTCAGGGTGAGAATTATTATAAACCAGTGTCTAGCATGTTAAATAAATGTAAGGAAATCACCAGCTATAGGAGATGTTTGTGTAGAAGGCCAAGGGTACCTATCTTCTCTTGATGTTTCTTTATAATGCCCTTTTTAACTATTACTGACATATATTTGTTATCTTTCTAATTGAAACTTTTTTTAGTGTAAAACCAAATTATTTTAAACTGCAACATTCACTAGTATACACATGTATCTGCGAAATGTAGACATCTGCAGTACAGGAATAGTACTGTCATGTTTTTTGGTACTATGACAAGGCTCAAAAAAGTGCCATCCCATTGTCCTGGACATGTAGATTTTCCTTCTGGGCAAGTAACTTTTCATTCTCACTTGCCCGATGGGCAAGAGATCAAGCAAGTCATTGGCCTACTAAATCATTAAAAGAGCAAACTAAGACTTGTGCAGGTCACGCAAAATTTGAGAGCTACTTGTCCCAAGAGCAAGCTGGAATTCAAGTTTTTTTCAAGACCTGTCTGAGCCTGGTAGTTTTGACAGTAAGTTACCCATGTTACTGTTTCATTCAGGTGGATTTGAGGTAACCTCTACAGTGCTTGTAACATGTTTACAGGCAGATCTTATTGTTAGGGCATTTGGTGGAAGGCTCTAAAGTGTTTGTGTTGTGTGAAGTTTCTACATGTAGTCAAAGCAAGCAAAATTTTGTGTGTGAAGAAAAATAGTGGTTACATGTAGTTTGCAAGAGACTAATCCTTTATAACATTTTTTAGAGAATGGAACATCAAGCTCTAGAGACACTGCTGACATTCTGGCAACAAAAAGTGATGAAGAAGTGAAGAAACTCATGGTACAAGTGTTTTTGACTCCAATTGAAGTCCAAAAGCATATTTTTAAAGTCTGGGAAAGATATGGTGACTTTCTAAACATTCTTTTCGGAGCTTATCCGTCTCCAACTGCAAAAAGGAGGTGCTGTTCAGCAGACATGTTCTTTTTAGAAGTCTTTCCAGTTCCTCCTTCAAAATTTAGACCAGTAAGTAATTTCTTTTTAGTTAGTTAAAATGATATTTAATCAATAGTTCAGTATTTGTCAGTACTACAGCTGAAAATGAATAAAATGACTTGTGTAAGTGTGTATATGGTACAATTGTACAATGATGCACAATTGAGTGCTAAAATAACCAGCACAGTGGCATTTACCGTAGCATGCAAAGAAAGTTGTGTCTAATAGCCTGAGGCTTGTTTTGTAGTTTGGTTGTGGATTCTAACTGTATTCTATACCCAATGGGCAAGTGAATTGGGGAATTCAAATTACAGTAATGTTCTTATTGCATAAGAGATAAAGTCCTTGTTGTAATTGCAACTTTTAATCAATTAAGACATGTTAAATTGNTTTGAAGGTACACTACTGATGTCCATCCTGGACTGCAGTTTTAGCATTTTTAGTGTAACAGTGATTTGTACATTGTGACCTAGTCATATGTTAATATAGAATTACGTGTAACATATTCCTGCATTTGCTACCCTTAGAAAACTAATACAAGAATTCTAATAATCTGAATTCTATCGACACACTCTGTTTTAAATTGGACATACATGTACATGTGGTTAAAAAAAAATAAATGCATACATGTACTGTACTATGTATGATATGCTAAATTTGTTGTATTATGCAAAAGCAACATGAAGGGGTGTGGGGCGGGGGCAAAAACTAGCATGTGACATGTGAAAAGGCATATGTGATGCAAAAATTTAAGAAAGAAAAACATTCTTAATGGTACAATGTAGTTAATAGTATAGCTGATGGGTGTATTTTCAAATTTGTGCCTGAAGCAGGATCAAAACAGTCCTCTGCCTACCTTCCAACATGTGTTACAAGTAGCTGAATGCCATTTATGAACTATAATACTAGCATTTGAATAACTTCTGTTCTAGATACTTGAGAAAAAAGAAGGCTTATTCAGAAAACACATGATGGGCAAAAGAGTGGACTATGCTTGCAGATCTGTAATTTCACCTGATCCATATCTGAGTGTAGATGAGATTGGAGTCCCAGAGGTATTTTGGTGTGCTAATATTTACTTCTATCATAATGGGACAAACTATAAATTTAATGTGATTTTGCATTTTGCATTGTTATGTGGCTAAATATCATTTAGGCAGGGTTAAACTCGAGCTAATGCAGCCAGCTAGTGTGCCCATCCAGCTAATATCATTTAGGCAAGTTAAATATGAGCTTATGCAGCCAGCGGTTTCCCCGTT